ACACTGAAACCCCATCTCTACTAAAAATACGAAAACTTAGCCAGGTGAGGTGGCACGCGCCTGTAGTCCCAGCTACTCAGGAGGCTGAGGCAGGAGGATTGCTTGAACCCGGGAGGCAGAGGTTGCAGTGGGCCAAGATCACACCACCACACTTCAGCCTAGAGCCTGGCAACAGAGCAAGACTCTGTCTCAAAAAAAAAAAAAAAAAAGTAGGAGGGGAAATAGGGAAAAATGTAAAAGCTTTCACCTTTTATTACAAAGGATCAATTAATACTGATTAAATTGAAACGTCGTTTTTTTTAAATTATTCCAAATAAAAGATAAGACTGTAGGCCAGGCGCAGTGGCTCAAGCCTGTAATCGCAGCACTTTGGGAGGCCGAGGTAGGTAGATCACGAGGTCAAGAGATCGAGACCATCCTGGTCAACATGGTGAACCCCCGTCTCTACTAAAATACAAAAAATTAGCTGGGCATGGTGGCGCGAGCCTGTAATCCCAGATACTCAGGAGGCTGAGGCAGGAGAACTGCCTGAACCCAGGAGGCGGAGGTTGCGGTGAGCCAAGATCGCGCCATTGCACTCCAGCCTGGGTAGCAAGAGCGAAACTCCGTCTCAAAAAAAAAAAAAAAAAGACTGTCAGCCTGAATAAAAGTGACAAACCCCACTATATGCTACTTACAAGAGATATGATTTAAATATAAGAACACAGAAAGGCTGCAAATTAAAAGATAGAGATGTACCACCCAAACAATATCCACAAAAAATCTGCTATACCTGTCCCAATGTTAAAGAGTAGAATTTAGGGCCGGGTGCGGTGGCTTACGCCTGTAATCCCAGCACTTTGGGAGGCCGAGGCGGGTGGATCACGAGGTCAAGAGATAGAGACCATCCTGGTCAACAAGATGAAACCCCGTCTCTACTAAAAATACAAAAATTAGCTGGGCATGGTGGCGCATGCCTGTAATCCCAGCTACTCAGGAGGCTGAGGCAGGAGAATTGCCTGAACCCAGGAGGCGGAGGTTGCAGTGAGCCGAGATCGCGCCATTGCACTCCAGCCTGGGTAACAAGAGCAAAACTCCGTCTCAAAAAAAAAAAAAAAGGGAGTAGAATTCAAGGTAAGGAGCGTTAGCAGAAACTTTATTTCAGTTAGAAGGTATCAGGATCCCAACTCTGTATATAGCCAATAGCAGAGCTTCAAAATACAAGCAAAGTCTAATGGAACTAACAGGATAAATGGGCAAATCTAGTCATGGAAAGAGACTTGAACAAACATCTCAAAAAACTTACGGAAATTTAGCAGTCACTAGATATGGGTCAATACATAAAGTCTGCTAGCCACAAATGTAAACAATATTTTTTAAATGAACCCATTAAACTCCTAGCAGATGAGGTAGAAGAAAATCTAGATGACCGTGGGTTTGGCAATGACTTTTTATTTTTATTTATTTATTTTGAGATGGAGTTTCACTGTTGTTACCCAGGCTGGAGTGCAATGGCGCGATCTCGGCTCACCGCAACCTCCGCCTCCTGGGTTCAGGCAATTCTCCTGCCTCAGCCTCCTGAGTAGCTGGGATTACAGGCCCGCGCCACCATGCCCAGCTAATTTTTGTATTTTTAGGAGAGACGGGGTTTCACCATGTTGACCAGGATGGTCTCGATCTCTTGACCTCGTGATCCACCCGCCTCGGCCTCCCAAAGTGCTGGAATTACAGGCGTGAGCCACCGCGCCCGGACTTATTTTTATTTTTATTTTGTTTTTGGAAACAGGGTCTTGCACTGTCACCCAGGCTGGAGTGTAGTGGCACAATCATGGTTCACTGCAGACTCGACCTTCTGGGCTCAAGCAACCCTCCCACCTCGGCCTCCTGAAGTGCTGGGATTACACACGTAAGCCTCTACAGCCAGTCCTGTTTTCTTTTTATTGCTTTCCTTTTGGTTTGTCGGCTCAGAAAGAGGGAATGACTTCTTAGATACAACCGCAAAGTCAAAATCCATAAAAGAAATAGTTGATGAGTTGGGCTTCATTAAAATTTAAACCCTGTGCTCTAAGAAAGACATTGTCAAGAGAATAAAAAGGTAAGACCAGGAGAAAACATTTGCAAAAGACATATCTGATAAAAGACTGTTGACCAAAATAGATGAAACCTTTAAAACTCAACAACAAGAAAATAAACAGCTCATGCCTGCAATCCTAGCACTTTGGGAGGCCGAGGCGGGTGGATCACGAGGTCAAGAGATCGAGACCAACCTGGCCAACATGGAGAAACCCCATCTCTACTAAAAATACAAAAACTAGGTAGGCATGGTAGCACACGCCCATAGTCCCAGCTACTCAGGAGGCTGAGGCAGGAGAATCACTTGAACCAGGGAGGTGGAGGTTGCAATGAGCCGAGATAGCACCACTGCACTCCAGCCTGGGTGACAGAGCCAGACTCCCTAATGAGTTATCAGGCCATGAAAAGACATGGAGGAACCTTAACTGCATATTCCTAAGTGAAAGAAACCAGTTTGAGTAGGCTACATACTTCGTGATTTCAAGTATATGATATTCCGGAAAAGGCAAAACTAGGAGACAGCCAAAGGATCGGTGTTTGCCAGGGGCCCCGGGGAGGGAGGGATGATTAGGTGGAGCACGGAGGATTTTTAGGCAGCGAAACTCTTGACTATGATACTATAATGGTAGATACATGTCATTATAATTTGTCAGTTTCACAGAATGTACATCAAGGGTTTACAATAAAGCCTTTGTCGGCTCTGAGCTTTGGGTGGTAAAGATGTGTCTATTGGCGTTCCTTCACTCATTATAGCAAATGTGCCACTCTGGTGTGTGATGTTCACAGAGAATTCCAAGTTGGTGGGGGTGGGTGTTATATGGGAAATCTCTGTACCTTCAGCTGAATTTTACTACAAACCTAAAACTGCTCTAAAAAATAAAGAACGTCTATTTTTAAAATGGAGCCATTTATGGAAGCATCAAACATCAGCTTCTTAGGAACCAAACAAAAGATGTGTGAGATCTGTACACTGAAAACCACAGAACGTTATTATGTATGAGTAACTCGGAAATGCAGATCCAAACCACAATTCGATACCACCTCGCACCCACTAAGACGGTCGTAATCAAACAGACAAACAAAGCCAGCGCTCGCCGGAATGCGGGGAAATGAGCTCCTCACACACCGTTGGTGGGAATGCACAACAGCACGGTCACTTTGGGAAACGGGTTAGCAGTTCCTCAAAAAGTTAAATCTAGAGTTACCATATGACCCAGCCGCTTCACTCCTAGGTATAAAATACCCAAGAGAATTGAAAATACGTGCCCACAAAGACACTCACACATGATGTTCATAGCAACATTATTCATAATAGAAAAAAAGTGTATGGGGCCGGGCGCGGTGGCTCACGCCTGTAATCCCAGCACTTTGGGAGGCCGAGGTGGGTGGATCACGAGGTCAAGAGAGCAAGACCATCCTGGTCAACGTGGTGAAACCTCGTCTCTACTAAAAATACAAAAAATTAGCTGGGTGTGGTGGCGTGTGCCTGTAATCCCAGCTACTCAGGAGGCTGAGGCAGGAGAATTGCCTGAACCCAGGAGGCGGAGGTTGCGATGAGCCGAGATCGCACCATTGCACTCCAGCCTGGGTAACAAGAGCGAAACTCAGTCTCAAAAAAAAAAAAGTAAAAAAGTGTAAATGACCCAAATGCACATAAATGGGTGAGTAGATAAACACATCATTCAGCCACATAGAAAGAAATAAAGTTCTGCCGGGGCAGTGGCTCACGCCTGTAATCCCAGCACTTTGGGAGCCCGAGGCAGGTGGATCACGAGGTCAGGAGTTTGAGACCAGCCTGGCCAACATGATGAAAACCTGTCTCTACTAAAAATACAAAAATTATCCGGGTGAAGTGGCAAATGCCTGTAATCCCAGCTACAAAGGGGGCTGAGGCAGGAGAATCACTTGAAACCAGGAGGTGGAGGCTGCACTGAGCTGAGATGGCACCACTGCACTCCAGCCTGGGCGACAGAGTAAAACTCCGTCTCAAAAAAAAAAGAAAGTTCTGATACGTGCTACCACATGGATGAACTTTGAAAACATTATGCTAAGTAACAAAAGGCCACATATTGTATGATCCCATTTATATGGAAAGTCCAAAATAGGCAAATCCATAGAGAAAGAAAGTAATTAATGGTTGCTAGTGACCAGGGGAAGGGGAAACGGAGAATGACAGGAATGGAGAGTGGCGGCTGCTGTATGGGGCTTTGAGGGGAGTGAAAACATATTGAGAAATTACGCAGTGGTGATGATTGCACAACTTTTTTTTTTTTTTTTTTGAGACAGAGTTTCGCTCTTGTTACCCAGGCTGGAGTGCAATGGCACGATCTCGGCTCACCACAACCTCCGCCTCCTGGGTTCAGGCAATTCTCCTGCCTCAGCCTCCCGAGTAGCTGGGATTACAGGCACGCACCACCATGCCCAGCTAATTTTTGTATTTTTAGTAGAGACGGGGTTTCATCTTGTTGACCAGGATGGTCTCGATCTCTTGACCTGGTGATCCACCCGCCTTGGCCTCCCAAAGTGCTGGGATTATAGGCGTGAGCCACCGCACCCAGCCACAACTTTTTAAATATACTAAAAACCCGGCTGAGTGCGGTGGTTTACAGCTATAATCCCAGCACTTTGGGAGGCTGAGGCAGGTGGATCACCTGAGGTCAGGAGTTTGAGACCAGCCTGACCAACATGGTGAAACCCCGTCTCTACTAAAAATACAAAATTAGCTGGGTGTGGTGGCAGGCACCTGTAATCCCAGCTATTCAGAAGGCTGAGGCAGCAGAATCACTTGAATCCCAGGAGGTGAAGGTTGCAGTGAGCTGAGATCACACCATTGCACTCCAGCCTGGGCAACAAGAGCCAAACTCCATCTCAAAAAAATAAATAAATAAATAAATAAACAAACAAACAAACTAAAACCCCCCTAAATTATATACTTCAAAACAGGTGAATTTTCTTGTATGTGAGTTATATCAATTTTTTTAATTAATAAAATGACATTACTGTGGGAAATTAAATAGGATCTAAATACATACATAACTGGACATGGCGGCTCACACTTGTAATCTCAACACTTTGGGAGGTCAAGACCAGCCTGGACAACATAGTGAGACCCAGTCTCTACAAAAACTAATTTAAAGATTAGCCAGGCATGGTGGCACATGCCTGCAGTCCCAGCTACCGAAGGGGATCACTCAAGCCCAGGAGGTCAAGGCCACAATGAGCATGAGAACCGTCTGAATCTGAGAAGGGGAGGTTGCAGTGAGCCACAATCACACCATGGCACTCAAGCCTGGGCAACAGAGCAAGACCCCATCTAAAAAAAAAAAAGCGGTATGGTATAGTCACACAGTGGAGTGCTACGTGCAAATAAATAAGAAATGTAAAACTGCAGACATCGTGGATGAATTTCATGAACATCATGTTGAGTGAAGGAAGACAGAAAAGAGGACAGGATTCCACTTACGCAGAGGACAAAACCAGGTCAAAGTCTTCCAGGTCAGGACAGGCCTTCCTTATGGGAGGAACTGTTGAAAGCGGGCTTGCAGGGGTCCATGGGGGCTGGCTGCCTTGCGTGTCTTTATCTGGTTGCTGGCTACATGGCGTGCTCATGCTGTATACGCTTATTTCATATATGTAACATTTCCATCAAAATTGTACCCCTGCTTCTCTGCCATGGGCTGACTGACGTGTTCCCCAAAAATCCGTATGTTGAAGTCCCAACCACCAGTATCTCAGGACGTGACCGTATTTGGAGATAAGGTCTTTAAAGAAGTGACTGAAGACTAGGGAAGCTGGGCGCTGTGGCTCATGCCTGTAACCCTAGCACTTTGGGAGGTCAAGGTGGGTGGATCGTCTGAGGTCAGGAGTTAAAGACCTCATGGTCTTTAACTGGCCCACATGGCAAAACCCCATATCTACTAAAAACACAAAAATTAGCTGGGTGTGTTGGTGCATGCCTGTAATCCCAGTTACTCAGGAGGCTGAGGCAGGAGAATTGCTGGAACCCAGGAGGCGGAGGTTGCAGTGAGCTGATATTGAGCCATTCCACCCTAGCCTGGGCGAATGAGCAAGGCTGTGCCTCAAAAAAAAACAAAGGTTGGCAGTGTAACCCTAGCACTTTGGGAGGCTGAGGTATAAGGATGGCTTGAGCCCAGGAGTTCAAGCCAGCCTGGCACCATAGTGAGACCCCCCCCCCAGTACAAATTAACCAGGTGTGGTGGTGGTATGTCCAGCTAACCTGGAGGCTGAGGCAGGAGGATGGCTTGCGCCCAGGAGGTCAAGACTACAGTGAGCCGTGATTGTGCCACTGCACTCCAGCCAGAGCAACAGAGCGAGACTGTCTCTAAAAACAAAAACAAAACATAAACAGGTGACTAAGTTGAAATGAAAGGATGGGTGCAGCGGCTCACACCTGTAATCCCAGCACTGTGGGAGGCTGAGAGAGCACTTGAGGACAGGAGTTTGAGACCAGCCTGGGCAACAGGTGAAACCTGGTCTCTACTAAAAATACAAAAATTAGCTGGGCGTGGTGGTGCATGCCTGGAATCCCAGCTACTCAGGAGGCTGAGGCAGGAGAATCACTTGAACCCGGGAGGCAGAGGTTACAGTGAGCCAAGATCTCACCACTGCACCCCAGCCAGGGCAACAGAGTGACATCCTGTCTCAAAAAAAAGTTAAAATGAGGTCTTTAGGACAAATCCTAACCCAGTATGCTTTAGGTCTTTATTTGGCTGCTGGCTACATGCCGAGCTCACTCTGTGTACACTTACTTCATATCTATACTATCGATCAACACTGCACCCTTGCTTCTCATAGGAAGAGGAGATTTGGACACAGAAGTGTACAGAGGAACGATGACAGGAAGGTGGCCGTCTGAAAGCCAAGGAGAGACGCCATACCTCGGTCTTGAACTTCCAACCTCCAGACTGTGAGGAAATCCATCTCTGCTGTTTCAGCCCTGCGGTTTGTAAAGGCAGCCCAAACTAACACGACCCGCAAAGGTCAACTGTATGGAATCATATGCAAAATAAATGTAAAAAATGTCATTAGGTGGCAAAAGAAAGTACAGAAGCATATGTCGTCTGCCACCATTGTTTTAGAAAAGAAGGGGACCATGTGTGTGGTATCTGTATCTGCATATAATACTTATACATACATACGTACACGTACATATATAAATCATCCCAGATCATCTCTGGGAGAATGAATATGGAGGAAACTGCCATTCGCTCTTGGTTTTCATTTATTTTATTACTTTTTTTTTTTTTTTGAGACGGAGTTTCGCTCTTGTTACCCAGGCTGGAGTGCAATGGCGCGATCTCGGCTCACCGCAACCTCCACCTCCTGGGTTCAGGCAATTCTCCTGCCTCGGCCTCCTGAGTAGCTGGGATTACAGGCACGCACCACCATGCCCAGCTAATTTTTTGTATTTTTTTAGTAGAGACAGGGTTTCACCTTGTTGACCAGGATGGTCTCAATCTCTTGACCTCGTGACCCACCCACCTCGGCCTCCCAAAGTGCTGGGATTATAGGCATGAGCCACCGCACCCGGCCTTTTTTTTTTTTTTTAATAGAGGCAGGGTCTCACCATGTTGCCTAGGCTGGTCTCAAAGACCTGGCCTCAAGTGAACCACCTGCCTTGGCTTCCCCAAAGTGCTGGGATTACAGGCGTGAGCCACTGCGCTCAGCCAGCTGTCGTCTTTTAGAGGGGAACTGAGGACTACATAAAATTAGTTTCATTTTGTTTTGTTTTTTGAGACAGAGTCTCACTCTGTTGCCCGGGCTGGAGTACAGTGTCGCGATCTCAGCTCACTGCAACCTCTGCTTCCCAGGTTCAAGCGATTCTCCTGCCTTAGGCTCCTGAGTAGCTGGAATTACTGGCATGCCTCACCATGCCTGGCTAATTTTTGTACTTTTAGTATAGATGGTTTCACCATGCTGGCCTGGCTGGTCTCGAACTCCTGAACTCAAGTGATCCACCCACCATGGCCTCCCAAAGGGTTGGGATTACAAGCGTGAGCCACTGCACCCAGCCCTACATAAAGTTTTAACCCAGTAAGCATATTTTTTAAATCACTAAATAGTTCACACATATGTAAATGCTTAGAGAAAAACAACAAAACATTCAAAAAGACCAGTGTTTGGAAAGTACTCAGAATTGTGTGTCCCAAAATTCATTCCCGCAAGACCCACAGGACTCCTTGGCCAAATCCTCAGGGGTCTACAGGTTTCTCTCGGGGCCAGAGACGGGGAAGGAGCTACCTGGCAGGGGAGGTCGTTGCTTCCATCCCCACTTTACAGAAGAGGAAACAGGACACCCTGAGAAGGCTGAAGATTCACACCCAGACCCAAGCAGAGGTCTGGTTTTTGTCTGTCCACAGCATGTCCCGGGTGTGGCTTTGGAGTAGGCGGCAGCTGGAGGCTGGGTGACCCTGGCAGGGTCTGAGCTCAGTCTCCTCATCTGAAAAGCTGGATAGTAATTCCCTCTTTATCTTGCGGCCGTGAGGAAGAGGACCGATGTGTGTGGAGTGACTGGCGGGCGCAGGCGTTCTGTAAGTGGCTGTCAGCAGGGCAGGGGCTGGGCTCAAGTCTGCAACCACACTGCTCCAAGCTGGACACACGGTGGCGCCCTCGTCCCGCAGGTGCAGCCAGTTCAGGCCTCTGGTGGCCTCAGTTACTGGAGGGAGGGAAGGAGAGGAAGTTATATCTGCAAACATATTGACCACTCTGGGCCCTAGGGGTGGAAAGGTGAATGAGGATCACACAGTTCCTACTCAAGGAGGCTGGATTGGAGGGGCTGGGAGCCCCGAGGGGGACAGGAACGTGGGAGAGAGCGCTGCCTGGGGATTTTGCAGTGGGTTGACCTGTGACCATCCTGCAAAAGACACTTCCACCTGGAACCTGGGAATGTGGCCTTATTTGGAAAAGAGTTTTTGTGGATGTAATGAAGATAAGGATCTCCTGTGGGTGCCGGTGACTCACGCCTGTAATTCCAGCACTTTGGGAGGCTGAGGCTGGCGGATCACCTGAGGTCAGGAATTTGAGACCAGCCTGGCCAACACAACAAAACCCAATCTCTACTAAAAATATAAATTAAAAAAATTACCCAGGGATAGTGGCAGGTGCCTGTAATCCCAGCTACTTGGGAGGCTGAGGCAGGAGAATGGCTTGAACCCAGGAGGCGGAGGTTGCAATGAGCGGAGATCGTGCCACTGCACTCCAGCCTGGGCAACAAAAGTGAAAAAGAAGAGAAGCAGCTGACACAGAGGGAGCGACCCGGAAACGGTGGCAGAGGCAGGAGTGAGGCTGTCACAGACAAGGATACCTGGAGCCACCAGAGCGGGAAGAGGCCAGGAAGGATTTGCCCCTAGCCCTTCAGAGGGAGCGGGGCCCCTCCAATGCCTTGATCTCAGACTTCTAGATTTGAGAACTAACCAGTTTGTTTGTTCAATTTTTTTTCAGGGACAGGGTCTCACTCTGTTGCCCAGACTGGAGTGCACTGATGTGATCATAGCTCACTGCAGCCTTCACCTCCTGGGCTCAAGCGATTCTCCCACCTCAGCCTCCCAAGGACCTGAGACTCCCAGCGCACACACACCACCATGTCCAGCTAATGTTTAAAAGTTTTTTTGTAGAGATGAGGGTCTCACCATGTTGCCCAAGATGGTCTCCAATTACTGGGCTTAAGCAATCCTCCTGCCTCAGCCTCCCAAAGTGCTGGGACCACAGGTAAGTGCCCTGTACCTGGCATGGACAGAATAAATTTGTCGGTGGTGGTGGTGGTGGTGGTGGTGGGTTTTTTTAGATGGAGTCTTGCTTTGTCACCAGGCTGGAGTGCAGTGACGTGATCTCGGCTCACTATAACCTCCATCTCCCAGGTTCAAGTGATTCCCCTGCCTCAGCCTTCCAAGTAGCTGGGACCACAGGCTAATTTTTTGTATTTTAGTAGAGATGGGGTTTCAGTCCTGCCATGTGGACCAGGATGGTCTCTAACTCCTGACCTCGTGATCCACCCGCCTTGGCCCCCCAAAGTGCTGAGATTCCAGGTGTGAGCCACTGTGCCTGGCCGATTTGTCTTGTTTTAAGCCACCAAGTTTGTGGTCATTTGTTACAGCTGCCACAGGAAACTAACAGAGATGTCTAAATTCTCTTCCTGCCACTCGGTTCACTGGCCCCACCACCCATAGCGTACAGGATGGTGCCCAAGGCCCCAAACTCCTGGCCCCCCCACCTTCCCCCAAACCCAAACTCCACTGCGCCCACTGCTCTCCAAACGCACAGGGTCTTTGACAACCTCTGCACTCTTGCTTTGGGGGCTCTCTGTCTGGGATGCCCTTCCCCTGCTGATCCCCTGGACAACTCTCACAGACACTTCGAAGTCCTCCTTCAATCCTTCAAGCGGTGGCTCACGCCTGTCATCCCAGCACTTTGGGAGGCCGAGGTGGGCGGATCACCCGAGGTCCGGAGTTCCAGAGCAGCCTGACCAGTATGGAGAAACCCTGTCTTTACTAAAAATACAAATTAGCCGGGTATGGTGGCACATGCCTGTAATCCCAGCTACCTGGGAGGCTGAGGCAGGAGAATCACTTGAAGCTGGGAGGCGGAGGTTACAGTGAGCCAAGATCACACCATTGCACTCCAGCCTGGGCAACAGAGCGAGACTCTGTCTCAAAAAAAAGTCTTCCTTCAACATCCTCTCCGAAAAGTATTAGTATACTTGTCCTTACTCTGCATACACTTATTCATATATATAACATTTCAATCAAAATTGTACCCCTGCTTATCTGCCATGGGCTGATGTGCATTCCCCAAAAATCGGTATGTTGAAGTCCTAACCCCCAGTATCTCAGGATATGACCATATTTGGAGGTAAGGTCTTTAAAGAGGTGACTGAAGACTGGGTAAGCTGGACATCATGGCTCACACCTTGTAATGCCACCCCTTTGGGAGGTCAAGGTGGGCAGATCACTGAGGTCAGGAGTTTGAGACGGACCTGGCCACATGGTGAAATCCCATCTCTACTAATAATACGAAAATTAGCCAGGCGTGGTGATGCATGCCTATAATCCCAGATCCTCGGGAGGCTGAGGCAGGAGAATTGCTTGAACCCGGCAGGCAGAGGTTGCAGTAAGCCGAGATCTTGCCACTGCACTCCAGCTTAGGCAACACAGCAAGACTGTGTCTCCAAAAAAAAAAAAAAAAAAAAAAAAAAAGACTGGGTGAGGTGGCTCACACCTGTAATCCTAGCACTTTGGGAGGCTGAGGTATAAGGGTGGTTTGAGCCCAGGAGTTCAAGACCAGCCTGGCACGATAGTGAGTCCCACCCCCCAACCCATACGAATTAGCCAGGCATGGTGGTGCTTCCAGGGCACCTGCACTCCTCCGCCTCCCTCAGCCTGCTGTGTTTCTCACTCCTCGTTCCATCACTGTCAGCTCAGCTCCAGGTCCCCCCACTAGTCCTCTCCTGGCCTCTCCATTCCCAGAGCTAATGCCCTCGTTCAGACCCCCCATCTCTCACCAGGCTTCTTGTGCCGCCTTTCCACTGCTCCCTCTGCCCCTGTCTAGCCGCTCCAGTCCATCACCACTCTGTAGCCCTGGAGTTCAGCTCTATCATGTCACTCCTCTGCTCAAGAGCCTTCCATAGCTCCCTGCTGCCCTGAGGAGAATGTCCAAAGGGAATGATAGTATCTTCAGATGCTCCTTCCCACCCCTCACCCCACCAGTGTCCAACACATCCATGTGCTACACACCTGACCAACATGGCACCACCTTGGCACAGGCTGTGGCCTTCACCGGGCACATCCTCTCCCTGTCTGCCAGGCATGCTCCAATCCAGGTCTTGGGCAGCCCCTTCCATAGTACCCACCACTCAGCAATGGCATCAGCTAAAACATCACAAAGCTGACCATGCAGCAGGTGTATGGTGTTAAAGCACTTACTTGTGACACATGTGTCAGCAATTTGTTTTCTGTCGCAAAGTGAGGCTGGAGTACAGTGGCGGGATCTCGGCTCACCGCAACTTCCGCCACCCAGGTTCAAGCAATTCTCCTGCCTCAGCCTCCTGAGTAGCTGGGATTACAGGTGCGAACCACCAAGCCCAGCTGATTTTTGTATTTTTAGTAGAGACGGGGTTTCACCGTGTTGGTCAGGCTGGTCTCGAACTCCTGACCACCTCAGCCTCCCAAAGTGCTGGGAGTGTTAACCCAGCATGTGTTAACCCCTTGAATTCTCATAAGAACCCCAGGAGAAAGGCACCATTCCTGGGTCCAGCTCACAGATGGGAAACCGAGGTCCAGATGGGTGAAGAACCATTCCGAAGTGGCAGAAGGAGCCCAACCCAGCCTGTTCTGTCACCCCTCCTGGTGCCTCAGAACTGCTGAACCTCCCCTTAACCACACCAAGCCCAAATTCGCCACCCTCTCCTCCGTGGATTTCAAAGTCTGTAAACGCATTGATTCCAAATTTTCCCTCGCTGTGCTGCACAAGGGTTACCCCGATTACATGGTGGTCTCTCCCTCCCGGAAGCTCCCAGAAAACTTCACTGTACTTGCCCAGGTCCCTGGTAACTGGCGCAGTGCAGGGGTTTAATAAATGAGAATGAATGAGCTCATGAGCGAAAGGTTTCCAGGGAAATCGGGCCCTGGGGATTTCTCACCCTCCTCAAAGAACAAATTATGCAAATTCTCTGGGACCAGGCCCTTGGCTTTCCCCCTCCCCTCCAGGTTTCTGGGAGGGTGTCTGGGCTCACCAGAAAGTGCCCCAGGCTCTCTAGTGGCCCGTTTCCTGATTACAAATGAAACTAGGGCTTAAAGCTGGTGAATCACTAGCAACTGCCAGCCAGGGCGTGCTGGGTGTCAGGTGGGGTGGACGGGAGAAGGCAGGCACGCAGCCAGACTTCCTACTGCTCCTGCCACCCCCTAATTTGCCCTCGAGGTGTGACCTCCCCAGCCACTGGAGTATTGGTGGCATTAACTAGGAAAGAGCCTAGCTCTGGGGACACACAAGCTTGAGCAACTCCTGGACTGTCCACTCTCCTAACCCTGGGCCCACCACCCCTGGGTCCCAAGGAACCCACAGCCTGAAGGGGGTTCGCAAACCTTCTTCCCAAGTCCCGTCTCAGGGAACTCAGGGGTGGTATCCAGGGAGGTGCTGTATCCCCATTTTAGAGATACAGAAACCAAAACTCGGGGCGAGGGAACTACCCAAGACCACCCCAAAGAAAGTAAGTAGGGGCTAGGAAGGTGAACCCCAGTCTTCTGCCTCCCCAGTGGGGTTTAAAGCAGAGACTGGGAATGGCCCTGGGGCCCAGGCTGGAGTGCAGTGGCACAGTCACGGCTCACTGCAGCCTCAAACTCCTGGGCTCAAGCGATCCTCTGTCTCAGCCTCCTGAGTGGCACCACCATGCCCGGCTCATTTAGCTTATTTTCTTTCTTTATTTTATTGAGATGGAGTCTCACTGTGTTGCCCAGGCTGGTCTCGAACTCTGAGTCTCAAGCATTCAGCCATTTCTTGATTCAAGCATCACAAACTTAGAGGGCAAAAGAGTGAAAAGTAAGGATCCCAGCCCCTACCCAAGACTCCTGGAGGAATTTCATCAAGTGTTCAGGGATTCTGAGGCTGGCTGGCAAACTGCCAAGCAATTGGGAAGAGCCTGTGTCCAGGCTCAGCTCTCAAGTGGACGCCTCACTAGTCACAGGGTTTTGTGACCTTGGGCAAGTTTCTTAGCTTCTATAGGTCTCAGTTTCCCCATCAGTGAAACGGGAGCAAATCTAAGTACCAACTGCAACGCAGGATTGTGGTGAGGAGAGGAATCAACTCGGATGAGACTCAGAGCAGCGCCAGCAGGCAATACAGGCCCAATAAACAGCAGGGTTTTCAAAAGTATTTTGAAGGATTCACTTCCTAAGGAGGAATCATCTGGAGTGAGTCCTTGTCATCAGAGAGGAATGTTCCCCACACCTGCCTGGTAGAAGGCTCAGGCCTGGGGCCTCCTTAGAAATCCCAAGACCTGTCCCACACATACCTGCCCTGTCAGACTTCAAGAAGGAAAGCTGATATTTTGGGTTTTTTGAGAAGGAGTTTCGCTCTTGCTGCCCAGCTGGAGTGCAATGGCGAGATCTCGGCTCACTGCAACCTCCGCCTCCCAAGTTCAAGTGACTCTCCTGCCTCAGCCTCTGGAGTAGGTGGGATTACAGGCATTCGCCACCAGGCCCGGCTAATTTTGTACTTAATTTGTATTACTAAAGTAGAGACAGGTTTCACCATGTTGTCAGGTTGGTCTTGAACTCCTCACCACAGGTCATCCACCCACCTCAGCCTCTCAAAGTGCTGGGATTACAGGCGTGATCCTCAGGTGATCCATCATGCCTAGCCTTTCCCCCCCCCACCCCCCCGAGATGGAGACTTGCTCTGTCACCCAGGCTGGAGGGCAGAGGTGCAATATGAGCTCACTGCAAACTCTGCCTCCCAAGTTCAAGATTCTCCTGCCTCAGCCTCCTGAGTAGCTGGGATTACAGGTACGCCACCACACCTGGATTTTTTTTTTTTTTAGTATAGATGAGGTTTCACCATGTTGCCCAGGCTGGTCTTGAACTCCCGACCTCAGGTGATCCACCCACCTGGGCCTCTCAAAGTGCTGGGATTACGGGTGTGAGCCACCGACCTGAGCTAGAAGCTGACGTTTTGAACCACAGCCCCAGGGAGTTTCTTGGATCAGGCAAGTCTGGGAATCCTAGAGGCTGAGTATCAGGTCGTTCTTTGAAGAGCCTTCGGGTGAAACGCCTTCCGCCCACCTGTCGACACGTCCTGGAGGTAAAGCCAACTTTCTCTACTTCTCATTAATAATAATGCTTCCCAACTGGAATTGCGTGCTCACCGGTGCCAGGTGCTTTCTAAAATGTAAATTAATTTCATCCATCAATAACCCTCTGGGGCAGTTATTTTTAGCTCCATCTTACAGGGGGGGAAACTGAGGCCAGGGAACTGAGGCCCATTCATAACTCACGCAAGGTCACACAGTCCTGGTCCCAGTCCCCAGGCCCGTCCCCTCGCCAACTCTGCAAAGCCACATCAAGTTGTGGTGGTTCCTTTACCCGGCTTCCCTCTGCCTTCCTGCCTGGGGCAAAAGAGGGCGCTCCAGAGCCACAGAAAGTCAACTGGGACAAATGACCTTATCCTTCCACCCCCTAAAACCTCCACTCCCTAAAACCTCCCCTCCTTCCCTCACCTGTGCCTTTCTCCAACCCTATCACGTCACTAGCATTTCCCTAGAAGTGCCATGCCGTTAGCCAGGTTGTTTCCTGGGACAGACACACTCTTTCCCAATTTTAGGCTTCTATATTGAGAGGGTGGCCTCCACCAGGAAGCCCTCCCTGACTGCTTCCTCTGAGCTAGCTAGCTGCAATGTGCCCCCACAACCTCTGGGGGATGACTGCCTCAAGCATTGATCATTTTGTCCCTAAGGGACTAGGGTTGGAGAGGGGAGACAGAGGACAGGGGTCACCTACCTCCTTTGGGGTTAGGTGAGGGAGCGGTGGGGAACGGGGCGGTCTCCCTCAGCCCGGCCTCTTCTGGCCCAGTGGCCGTGACCCTCAGGCCCTCGGTCAATACCGTTGGGCAACCACGGGACTGATTGGCTGGGGCTGCCTGGAGCGGGGGGTTGGCAGGACTGTTTGTTTCCCCATGGGTACCTTTGGCCAGCCCCACCCCTCCGTGGAGGCCTCCCCTGCTAGTCCCAGTCTCTGGGATTGTGGAGGCAGCAGGGGTGGGGGGAAAAGGGAGGCAGCAGCAGATGGGGGCTGACCCGGGAGCTGGCTCCACGCCCCGCCCTAGGAATGGAGAGACTGAGTCCGCCAGAGCACAGTCAAGCCAGAGCTGCGGCCTCATGCCCCAGCGGGAAGGGAAGGAATCTGGTCTCCTCCTTCCTGGCTCCGTCAGCCCCGCCCCCATCAGAGCTGGGGAGGCCCCGGGATGGGAGGAGAGGACTGGGGCGGGGCATCCAGACTTGGAGGGGGGCCTGGAGCCCGGGATGCTTCCTGCGGACCTTCAACTCCCACATTCCAGGCTGTTCCCAAGACTCCTCGCTCCTCCTCTTTTCCCTACCACCCCAGGTTGTGGGGGCGGGTGGTAGTGGCCTGGGTCTGAACTAGCCGCCTGGGGCCTGTGGGGGTGCTGGGTGGCCCCTCCTAGGGAGAGATTAGATCTAGACTAGAGGGGCTGCCCTGGAGGCCTGTCCGAGCGCCACCCGAGGGTCCTTGTGACTCTCGTAAACAGGAAGCCCCCCCTCCCCGCTGCACCATGTAGACAGGCCCTGTGTGTGCTGCGCTGGGCTCTGGAGGCCGGGGGCTGTTGACCTCCCCGGCAGCTGCGTTTCCTGTTAGCTGAGCCAGATGAGAAAGAAGGGGACTGAAATGGGCTGAACAGGGGAGGTGCCCGAGGGAGTGAGAGCAGAGTGGGAAAGAGCCCACCAGAGAGTGAAGGCACACAGTAGGTGCTCAATAAATAGTCCGTGGCCTGAGGTTGAGTAAGAAGGGAGGGGTCCCACTGAGGAGAGCCACGCAGTTACAGGGAAGAGCCTCTGGAGGATCCACCCCTCTGCCACCGAGGCCTGGCACATAGTAGGTGCTCAGGAAATACTGGAGACTCATGTTTAGAATAGCTGGGGAGGAGGTGTTCCTGGAAGAGCAGTACTGTTTGGGAGGAGAAAAGGAGGCCCCCTTGGCCTTGCTGCCTGCTGTGGGCTCAGCAATCCTCCACCGTCCCTGCCTGGCCCCCGCCCCGCCCCATGGCTGCCTGGGCCAGGCCACTGTCTCAAGGCCCTTTATTTTTAAAATCCCTGCGGTGTTCCTGACCCAAACCTAAGGAGCAGTGCCAGTCAGCAGCTCAGCCTGCGGCCTGGGCTCGGGGCCCAAAGGCGCCAGGGGTGGGGCATCCGGCCACCCCACAGCTGCTGGGCCAGCCGGCCTGCCTGAGCGGGGTGAGGAGGCCCCTGGAATGCCCCACTGTGGGCCAGAGGCATTAGTCCTTAGTCCCTTGGTGAAGGCACAGAGGCCCACAAGGGTGGCAGCCACAGCCAGGCTTTGCGTGTTGGATACAGCAGCTCCTTCTTCCCGTGACCTCCAAATAAATACGTGCACAGCGCCGACTATGTGTGAGGAGGAGGTGCGGGCTGGACTTCGTGGGGGGTGACAAAGGGGTAAGACGCCCTCTCTGTTTTCCAGGGAGGTAGGGCCTGCAGAGGACACCGGTGTGGCAGTTGTAGGGCATTTCTTGAAAGAGCCACGGACTGGAATCTAAGAGGCCTGGCCAGTCCTGGGTCCATCCCTTCAGCTGTGCGGACTTGGGCAAGTCATTAGGTCTCTCTAAGCTTCTCTGCAAAGGAAGACAATGACAGTTACCTCGGAAGGCTGCAGTCTGTCACTAGACACCGCGATGAGCCAGACAGTCACCATCCCTGCCCTCACGGAGCTTAATGTCATAGGGGAAGACGGTCCCCTGAGCAAGGTCATGGCAGTCACTAGAGACACAGAGGAACAGCACGGAAGGGAGGGTACTGGGGGGGCAGGGGTGGGAGAGAACTTAATTTGTTTTCGTTTTTTTCTTCTTTTAAGATGGAGTCTCGCTCTGTCATACCAGGCTGGAGTGCAGTGGTGAAATCTTGGCTCACTGCAACCTCTGCCTAGAGGGTTCAAGCTATTTTCCTGCCTCAGCCTCCTGAGTAGCTGAGATTACAGGTGTGCACCACCACACCCGGCTAATATCTTTGTACTTTTTAGTAGAGGCGAGGTTTCACCATATTGGCCAGGCTGGTCTTGAACTCCTTGACCTCAGATGATCCACCCGCCTTGGCCTCCCAAAGTGTTGGGATTACAGGTGTGAACCACCGCGCCTGGCTTGTTTTGTTTTTTTGAGATGGAGTTTCATTCTTTTTGCCCAGGCTGGAATGCAATGGTGCAATCTCTGTTCACTGCAACATTTGCCTCCCAGGTTCAAGAGATTCTCCTACCTCAACCTCTCAAGTAGCTGGAATTACAGGCATACATCACCACACCTGGCTAATTTTTGTATTTTTAGTACCAACGGGGTTTCACCATGTTGACCAGTCTAGTCTCGAATTCCTGACCTCAGATGATCCACCCCTCTTGGCCTCCCAAAGTGTTGGGATTACAGGTGTGAGCCACCATGCCTAGCCAAGAATTCAACTTAGGTCCCTGGTCCAGTAGGCCTCTGAGGAGGGGACATTTGAGCTGAGCAGAAAACAGCCTTTCACTTATCTTGGGGAAGAGTATCCTCTGCAGAAGGAAGGGCAGCACGAAGGCCCTGAGGCAGCAGGTGACCGGCATGGGAATGGAAGGACTTGGTAAACCTTCGAGGACTGTGCGCCTGGCAGGAGGTGCTATTGTCATCAGTGTCACTATGTCAGGCGGGGAGAGGCAGGGATGTCGGGCAGATCAGGTCACAGCTGAGAACGGCCTCTGCATCCCCTTCCCTTCACTTGCTCCCCTAAAGAACCCCAGGTTGCCGGGCACGGTGGCTCACGCCTGTAATCCCAGCACTGTGGGAGGCCGAGGCAGGCAGATCACAAGGTCAAGAGATCGAGACCATCCTGGTGAACATGGTGAAACCCTGTCTCTACTAAAAATACAAAAAGTTAGCTGGGCGTGGTGGCACACACCTATAGTCCCAGCTTCTTGGGAGGATGAAGCAGGAGAACCGCTTGAACCCAAGAGGTGGTTGCAGTGAGCTGAGATCAGATTGCACCACTGCACTCCAGCCTGGGCAACAGAGTGAGATTCTGTCTCAAAAAAAAGAATGCCAGGCTGGCCAGCCTGCACGTGTGGGCCTTTGCCCTACAAAGGGCGTTCCCTCCAGCCCAACTTGTTTTTGCCTTTGATCCTCCCAACAGCTGTGGGGAAAGGCAGGCAGGGTGTTTTATCCATATACCCATTTGATGGATGGGGAAACTGAGGTGGGGCACAGGATGATTCAAGTGTCTCACTAAGATCACCCAGCTCATTCGTGGCAACGCTGGCCAGGTGCAGTGGCTCATACCTGTAATCCCAGAATTTTGGGAGGCTGAGACGGGAGGATCACTTGAGCCCAGGAGTTTGATACCAGCCTGGGCAACATAGCAAGACCACTTCTCTACAAAAATTTAAAATTTAGCCGATCAGGAGAATCGCTTGATGAGATCGCTCCACTGCACTCCAGCCTTGGCAACATAGTGAGACTCCATCTCCAAAAACAAAAAAATTAGCCAAGCCAAGCACGGTGTCATGTGTCTGCGGTCCTAGCTACTCAGGAAGCTGAAGTGGGAGAATCGCTTGAGCCCAGGAGGTCGAGGCTGCAGTAAGCTATGTTCATGCCACTGTACTCCAGCCTGGGCAATAGAGCAAGACCCTGTCTCAAAAAAAGAAAAAAAAAAAGACGAAGCTGATCCATGCAGCCAAGTCGCCCGGTTCCCAGCCTAATTCATTAGCTCTGAGGTGGTCCTTTGGGAAGCCATCCTTGACCCCCCCCAAAAAACATTTCCTACCTCACCCCAGCATCTGTCCCAGTGCCCACAAACCAGATGAGCTCTCCAGCACACAGACTCCACCAGGAGGTGCCAGCCACCCCTCAGGCTCCAGCCAGAGAAGAATGTGGCCTGACCCTCCCCGTGGGAGCTCTGGCCAGCAGGCCTTGGCAGAAGAGAGGCCGGCTGAGTCAACAAGAGGCTGGCAGAGGCTCAAGCTGCCCCCTGAGGAGGAGTCAGAGACCCAGAAAGGCTGCCCATTCCCCAACCCTCACTCTCTGCGAGATCCCCCCTCCTGCTTGGCAGGCGCCAGCCAGCCCGGTTAACCCCTGCAGACCCACTCAGGGAATGGCCTGGTGAGAATGTCAATCCCCTATGGAACAGTGCTGTGGGACTTCAGGTAGGTTACTTCACCTCTCTGGGCAGTTTCCTTGCCTGAGAGATCCTCCACTTGCTTATAAGAATGTTGTCAGAGTCTTTATGAATTCATAAAGGTGACTCTGCACATAAAACCCTAAACCATCGCGTCCCGTCTCTGCAAGCTGGGAGTGTGAATTTATGAGTTCAAAGGCAGTGGCTGGGCCAGGCCAGTGGCTCATGCCTGTAATCCCAGCACTTTGGGATGCTGAGGTGTCCATGGGCATTTCACCATGTTGCCCAGGGTGGTCTCGAACACCTGAGATCAGGAGTTCAAGACCACCCTGGGCAACATGGTGAAACCCCATCTCTACTACAAAAAAATTAGTCAGGCATGGTGGTATGCACCTGTGGTACCAGCTACTCAGGAGGCTGAGGCACCAGAATCACTTGAACCCAGGAGGCGGAAGTTGCAGAGAGCCAGGATCACACCACTGCACTCTAGCTTGGGCTACAGAGTAAGATTCTGTCTCAAAAAAAAAAAAAAAAAACCAGAGGCAGCGGCTGTGCCCCGTTGCCAGGTGCCGAGCTGGTGCTTTATGAATGTTTCCTGTGGTGTGAGTTAAGTCCATCAAACTACAGAAAAGTACAAGGAGCTGGAGCCTCTGCAATGACCATGACACACCCCCAACCTGTGGTTCTTCGTTTTGTTTTTTTTTTTTTTGAGACAGAGTCTTGCTCTGTCGCCCAGGCTGGAGTGCAGTGGCGTGATCTTGGCTCACTGCAACCTCCGCCTCCCAGGTTCAAGTGATTCTCCTGCCTCAGCCTCCAAGTAGCTGGGACTATAGGCGTGCACCACCATGCCTGGCTCATTTTTTGCATATTTAGTAGAGATGGGGTTTCACCATGTTGGCCAGGCTGGTCTTGATCTCCTGACCTCATGATCCACCTGCCTCGGCCTCCCAAAGTGCTGGGATTACAGGCGTGAGCCACCGCGCCCGGCCCCAACCTGTGTTTCTAAAGGTCCTTTCACAGACGTGTTTGATCACAGGCGTTGTTACTCCCACTTGACAGATGAGAAAACAGGCCCTGGGAGGCTCAAGAACTTGCCCAGATCCACAGCTGAGAGGACTTGGAGCCGGGTCTTCTGACTTCTTTGGCAAAGGGAAGCGGCTGGAGAACTCTGTTCTCAGAGGTGGAAGGAGCAGTGAGCAGAGGTCACGGGGGAGATGATTTCGGCTCCATTTCAGGGAGAAATTCTTGGCTGGCACAGCTGTCCTCTTGGGGAAGTGGTGAGCTCCCAGTCACCAAAGGGATGGAAGTAGAGGCAACAGCCATCAGTCAGGGATGCTTCTGAACAATGCCTGCCCCAGAAGGATGTGTGTACAGCATGGATGTTTCCTCCTTGCCCCTGGAGACCAGGAGAGATCACGATCCCTGCGTGCGTGGTCCCAGAGCCTTTGTCCTCAAGGCAGCAGGCTACAGAGAGATGACAGACCTGGACTGCAATCCAGTGTGACCATTTCCAGTGAGAGGTGACTACCTCCTTGGCCCCGTGTCGTCATCGGCTCCACGGTTTGGTGAGGATCACAGCAGATACAAGTGAAATGTCAGGCTCTGAGCTGTGTATGGCAATCAGGAGATGCCCAGTCAACGCTCCCGCTTCTGCTCTTCTTCTTATCAGTCCAGAAAAGAGAGGAGGACACCAGGGGCTAAGGACAAGGTTAGGGCTTAGGAGGTTGTGGATGAACCCAGGACCCGGAGCCAGGAGCGCCAGGGCCGACTCCCAGCTCTTTGACGAGCAGTCAGGTGCCGTGGGCAAGAAGCATTCCCTAGTCCATTTCTGTCTCTGTCACACTAAGGAGGTCATGAACACGGAAGGGCTTCATTAACCAAAGTGGACGGGCTTTTGTTAGGAAAAAACAGAGAGATCCATGTGTCCAGGAATGCGTGCGTGGCCATGGGGGTGAGGAAGGTGCCCCCACAGCCTACGCGGGCAGGGCCACGTGAAGCCCTCAGGGCTGGGCCAGGCTGGAGGAGGCCATGCAGGAGATGGTCTGGGCTGGCCTGAAGCCCACGGGCCTATCTCTTGGGCCAGGCTGGGCCACAGAGAATAGTCCATTGTTTCTGCTCCTCAAACGCTTTTCCTGTCCCCCCCTCCATGCCCCTCCTCTCTCCACCCCACCCACTTCACAATGAGAACAAAGGTCTCCTAGAGGACCCCTCCCCAGCACCCTTCCACCCAGGCCCCAGCCACCTGGCCCAGGTCTGGAGCGCCCACTCCCATCACCCAGGGACAAGGGGGTCGCCGGGTCCTGACCCCTTCGGCCGCCCCACCCCCCAGGCCTGCAACAAGCTACCTTAGACCCCCACTCCACCCTCAGTCCATCCATCTGTCTGTCCTCCTTGGGGGTGGGGCTGGAGGAGCTGACCCCACATCCTTCCTCAACCCCCGTCCAACTTCTTGCTCTCCAGGAGAAAGGGAGCCAGAGGGGTTAGGGGGGCTTCCCCACCCCCATTTCCCTGCAGACCAGTGAATAAGAAACCAGAGCTGGGTCTGTCTGGAAGCCTCCGCCTGAGAAAGCTCTTCCACAGCCCGGCCCTTTTCCCAGAGCCTGGAATTTCAGAGGCGTTTCCGGCCCTGACAGCTGTCTCCTGGAGACATGCCCTCCCCTTGGGCCTCACAGCCACGCCCTCCAAAATGCCCCTGGCATTAACTCCCATCCTGACCCTACAGCTCCAAAGAATCCTTTCACACCCAGGCATCACCTCCAGGAGCAGCTGAGTGACACAGATAGGGACGCATCTGCCATCACCCAGCCCCCAGGCCACCCCCTAGCCTCAGGTCAGGCCTTGACTCCGAATGTCTGACTGTGGCTGACACCCTGGCCACATACACCCGTGTCAGACACACACACTTCGGGTTCCCAGCCTGGCTGTCACTGTGTGCACACAGCCTCATCCATCTATAGAGCCTTGCTCATCCTGCCTCCTCCAGGCAGTCTTCCTGGAAGCCCTGCCATGTCAGTGCTGAGCCTTACCTGTCGGTGAGCCTGTTTCACCCTGTTAGGCTCCAAGATGGCACAAACTCAACAGATGGTCTCACCCACACTGGAACCAACCTCGGCGTATGCGGCAACCCAGGACTCCACACTACTCTGTCTGGACCTCAGTGGCCCCAGTAGCTTTTTCTTTTTTTTTCCAGTCACCCAGCAGCACCATCTCAGCTCTTTGCAGCCTCCACCTCCTGGGTTCAAGCGATTCTCCTGCCCCAGCCTCCCTAGTAGCTGGGATTACCAGCAAATGCCACCACGCCCAGCTAATTTTTATATTTTTAGTAGAGATGGGGTTGTGCCATGTTGGCCAGGCTGGTCTCAAACTCCTGACCTCAAGTGATCTGCTGGCCTCGGTCTCCCAAAGTTCTGGGATTACAGGCATGAGCCACCACGCCTGGCCCCCAGGAGCTTCTGAGAAGCCTGAAACATGCCTCTTCCCCCACTCCACCCGTGACCAAGCGTTGGTTCTCCAGCATCTGGAGTTGAAGGAAAGTACCAAAGAGCCGAAGGGTCCTGCCGGAAGGGTCTCCATCTCCTGGCTCCCTCAGAACACATTCCTGTCATCAAGGGCTGCACGGAAAACAAAAAACAGCATCAGGCAGGGCTGCCCCAGCCTCTGCTAACGAGGAAGCCCCATCAAGGATCCTGAGCCACCGCCAGGTCTGTGATCCCCAAGGGTCGCCATCTCTGGGTGGGGCAGTGGCCCAGCCTAGCACCTGCCACTACCCTCCCTGTGTGTGGCATTCAGTGCCTCTGCCCACTCCTCCACACTAGACCCAGTGCAACTTCCAGCCTCCCAGCACCAGGTCACCATCCGCCCTCAGGAGTGCCCATTCGCACCTCCACCTCTCTGCTGACGCCGGTTCTCTCCCCAGCCTCACCTACAGACCATCTTACCCCAAGGCAGAAGGCCCAACTCAAATGCCACCTTCTCCAGGAAGCCTCCCTGGCCCTCCTCAGGTGATCTTCTGCCTCCCTGCCCCGTCTACCGCTGCCGTGGCCTTTCGTCACCACCAGTGTCCTGGCCCCTGACTTCCCCAGCAGATCTAAGTGTCTTGAGAGGAGGGAGACCACACTCCTTACTGCCACCCCTCACACGGTGCCCAACCCAGGGCCCACTGCAGCGGATACCCATTGAGCATGTGTTCAATGAAACTGCCTACCCGTAAAGGGAAAATGATAAAGTCATCATACGCCAGGCTAGGTGGCTCACGCCTGTGATCCCAGCACTTTTGGAGGCTGAGGCGGGCGGATCTCTTGAGCCCAGGAGTCTGAGAGCAACCTGACGAACATGGTGAAACCTCGTCTCTACTAAAAATACAAAATTAACCAGGTGCGGTGGCAGGCACCTGTAGTCCTAGCTACTTGGGAGGGTGAGGCATGAAAATCGCTTGAACCTGGGAGGCAGAGGTTGCAGTGAGCTGAGATCGCCACCACTGCATTCCAGCCTGGGTGACAGAGGGAGACTCCATTTAAAAAAAAAGAAATGGCCGGGTACAGTGGTTCACGCCTGTAATCCCAGCACTTTGGGAGGCCGAGGCAGGCGGATCACCTGAGGTCAGGAGTTCAAGACTAGCCTGGCCAACATGGTGAAACCTTGTCACTACTAAAAATACAAAAATTCGCCCAGCGTGTTTGCAGATGCCTGTAATCCCAGCTACTTGGGAGGCTGAGGCAGGAAGATCGCTTGAACCTGGGAGGTGAAGGTTCCAGTGAGTCAAAATGGTGCCATTTTACTCCAGCCTGGGTGATAGCAAGAGAGAGAGAGAGAGAGAGAGAGAGAGATAGAGGGAGGGAAAGAGAGAGAGAGAAAGAAAAAAGAAAGAAAGAGAAAGAACGAAAGAAAGAGAAAGAACGAACGAACCAACTCAGGAGGCTGAGGCAGGAAAATTGCTTGAACCTGGGAGGTGAAGGTTGCAGTGAGCTGAAATGGCACCATTTCACTCCAGCCTGGGTGACAGAGCAAGAGAGAGAAAGAAAGGAAGGAAGAAAGAGAGAGAGACGGAGAGGGAGGGAGGAAGGAAGGAAAGGAAAAAGTCATAGTAACAACTACCCTTCCTAGACCATAGTAATCACAGGTCAGGCAGTGAACTTGAACTTTATGGCTTATTACAAATAATGGAACTGACACCAGTGCTGGGGACTGACTTAGCCAAGGTCACTCTGATAGTGAGAGGCAAAAGCCTGATTGCACTCAGGTCTGTCTGACTTGGAAAGGCACCTGGATGGCAGAGGGGAGAGCTGGAGTCAGCTT